GCTTGGGTATTACTTGAATAGACAGAAATCAATGTTAATGTTTTAATGTTAAAGAAATGTAAATGTCTTGGATCACAACTATTGTTCTGTGTGAACCAGTATGATGCTTGAGCTAAAAAAATCTAGGATCTGATAGTGTAGTCTTCTCTTACATATGGAAATCTTTCTCCCTTTCTCTGCCCTCCCCACCCCCCCATCTGAATAAAATAAACAGCAAACCAGGCTGTTGCTCTATACAGGTCTTTTCATGCTACTGTTAAGCTGAGTGCTCTAAAGTCAGTGTTTCTAAACATATGGCTTGCACCTCTCAAGGGAAATATGCAATGCAAAGTGGCAGAAAGTTGCTATGTAGTGCCAATAATTTGGCTGCAGCTCATTTCTGCCAGTCAGAACAATGAATTTAAGTACATACAGTCAGTAAGGGTAGGGTGTTTTCCTCTTTTTTCCCTGGATGAACTATGCTGTTGCTGCTGTAAGGGACTTTTCACATAACCATGAACCAGAAGTATTTGCGCTTATAAAAAAATTTGGGATAGGAAGTGATTGGTGTTTTATATTTATTTAACATAATCATACTTACAAGCAGAATTGCAGTTTGGGGTTTGTCTGTAGCAGTTTTCTCTGAACAGTTATTTTAATGGCTCAAATTAATATTGTAAAGTTTAAAAATCCCTTTTTAAAAGTGTTAAATTTTGAATGCCTTTTAATGCTCTAAGTATGCATTTGATTAATTGATGAACACCTTACGGTCAGTGAACCTTTCTGATGCTTTAGAATACATATCTAGGATTGCTAAACATTGGCAATAATGTATTACTTTACCACATCTTACTGAGTCTAGTTATGTCTAAAATGTATCTTTTTATATTTAATGCTTTTGTTAAGTAGTATTTTTTCAAGAGAGAAACAGCTCTTGCAGTCAAAACAAAGACTGTCTAATTATTTTGACATTTGCATTCTCAATTGGCACTTAAAAGGATCATTAATATCTTCTAAGGACTAGCTGAGCCTTTATGCCCCTAGATCTTCAATTTAAAAATGAATAATTTTTAATCCATTTGATAGACTACCTACCTTGAAAATATTATACCTGAGTTGCCCTGAAGTTGAGTGGTGATAGTCTTTTGAAGCCAAAACATACCAGTGACAGGAAACATGTTACCATGAAAAGTAGTGTCGAGATTCAAATCTTAAAAGTGCCTCAAAAAAGTATTCCATAAACACATTTGTTTATTTGAAAATTTACCTGACTTCCTAGTGAAAAAGGAAAAGTTACAATGAATAAAAGCTCTTAGACCTGATTAAGTAAGTAATCATTTTTCCATATTTCCCAGTGATGTACTTCATAATACTTAGAGTGCATCTTCCCTCAAAATATACAGTAGAAGTATCTTAGAAGTAAAAATGTTGTCTAAATTTTAACTACTTATGCTGGATTACAATCTTCCTTTAACACTTGTATGAATAAACATATATCAAAGAATGTCAGTATTGTAAAGTTTTTGGCTAGTAAAAAAAAATTATATCTCTGTGGAGATAAACTGTTCTGAAGATCTTGAAAAGAGCAATTTATAAAGCTGTCATGCTATGTTCTTGGTGTTACCTATTTGCACAATTGCAGATTTAACATACGGTATGCATTTAAATGTTTTCCTTTTGTTCACAGGACAGAATCTGGGAAACTGTCCCCCACTGCTAACTGCAGGAATTTGTTACTTTGTGGAGCTGCTCATATGAGAGAAGTTATGTACTTAAATGCTCAGGTACTCCACTCTTAGGAATCTCAGTCTGATTAGTCAAAATCAGAGTTCTCAAAATTGTCTTCACACTAAGCTTGCACAACCTTGTTAACGTAAGCAGAATTATGTTCCCAAAGAGGACAGTGTACCTGTATTTAAAATGTTATGATTCACCACAAAATAGAAAATGGTTATTCAGCTGCGACCGTGACAAAGGTCAGAAAAAAATGGGTATAAGCAGTCTTGTTTTTTCATTAAACAAAAACTTTTGCCTTAGTAAATGAAAAAATATTTCAGAATCCTTGCAAAGTCTGTGTATACTGTGTTTGACTAAGATGGTACTGTTCGGCTTACCTTTTCAGCAGGTTTCTCAAAAATGTGTTAGTACATTAGAAGGACATATGATGGGAGGCCATAGACTAGGGGTGGGCATTTGCATTTGTGAGCACCAGTCACCAGACAGGATGTCAAAGATGAGATTTGGGTGGTCCTAGTAAGTGGAAGTCCTAACAGTTCATCATTTGAGATCTGCTCAAAAGTCTATTAACTCCCAGCAGGGGACCTGATTAAAAGCTATCACATTATTCATAGTAATAAAGATTGTCCAGAACAAGAGGCGGCCCTCAATTATTTCCGAGCAATGTTGTCAATTTAAATGGAAGAATTAAGTGGCACTTGTCTCATCTTGTCATTTGTAATACAAACTTGTATCTAATTTATATAAAACAGAGAAATATTTTAGATAGTTATGCAGTCTGTCTTAGAACTGTAATTTGGGAGACTGTATAGAGGACTGAGAGTTTGAAAACAGTTCTGTGTTTTGGTCTGTTAAAACTACAGCACATTTTGTTTTCTAATCTCTGAGCCCATAGCTTCACATCCAAAGAAAAGCAGTAAGTAGGCTGTATTTCCCAGTAAGTCATGAGAAAGTGCTGCAAAGGCACCAAATCAGCAAATCTGCCATTGTCTTAGTAGACTTGTACTGGGACAGTTTGAATTTTAAATGAGTCTGTTATACAAGAAAGAGAATCCAGGTCGTTCCTTATGTATAATGGATTTACCATACCAGCAAAAATAAAGGTATTTAAAGCTTACTTTTCACAGTTAAATGGATAATTAAAATAATACTGCTGTCATGAATGTTAACAAATACACCAATTGCTTGTCCTGCTTCTCCACCCTTGATGAACACCTGACACCAACACAAAACATAAGGAGTGGATAAATAAAAAGATGCCATTTTGTTATTACTTCTTCAGCTGTACTGTAGTTTCACCCAACTTGCAGTTACACAAATGATGGTGTTTGAACGTTGCAGTTAAGCTTTTAACAATTAGCTGTATGTGTACAAGATGAGCAGAGTCTGCACGTCATATCATTTGGCTAAACATCCATATAATTTTTATGCTGCGATATTAAACCATTATCCTTCTTAAATATTTCCGTTTGTCTGTGTTTAAATGAAATGCCCAGCAAAGATGGTAACAACTTTGTATATTTACCTAATCATCTCGTCTTCCTAGTAACTTCAACTGTTTTCTGGACATGCTGCAAAGGCCTTAGTATATAGCTTCTGGTAGGCCAGGATGCTGACAAGGTACACAGTCTGAAATGCAGCATCTCTTTGCAGAGAACAGCTGGAATGCTGTTTCTATAGAAATGAGCTTTGCTAGCATTTGAGAGAAGCACTTTCATAAATACCTGTGTTCTGAGCAATGATGGGTGAGCTTTCCAGGTTAAAACTAGCCCTTTCAGCACTGTGGTTCCCAAGAAAATAGCATGATTTACTCCTGGCATTGAGTATGAAACGGAGTGTTTGTTCTTTGGGTGGTAAAATTGGGCGCTGTTTAAGTTTTTATATGGACTCTGCATATAACCTGTTTTAAAGAACACTGCAGGTACCCTAATTACAAGATCACATATTTTGTAACTCATAATGTTCATCTGAGAGACAATGACTTTGACTTTTGATGAAAACTGTAGGTAGAAAAGAAGCACTACTTATAAAACTGTAGGTAGAAAAGAAGCACTACTTATAAATTTGTTGCATATGTATCTTGGAAGGTTGAACAGACTAACTGAACTGTGAAGATTAAAAACATAGATCTGTTTATCAAGGACTGATAAAATCCAGTGCCTCTTTGTTGTTCTAAAATTATTATTACTATTTGCGTGTGATTGGAATGAGTGTCAGCATTTTACACCTGACTAGCTCCGTATGTCGTAGAGGAAATAGGCTGTTTTTCATAGGAAATGTAAGTTGGCCATTGTGTATTTTGTCCTTTTGGCTTTCTCTTCCTCATTGAAGTAAAAACTTTCGTTCGATATTTTCATACACTACGTAAATTACCTATATAGAGAGAATCCTGTCTCAAAAGTATGCATCTCTTTTTCACTGTTCCCATCACAATGCTTTCAATCTGGAAACAGCTGATTGTATATGATTAGAAAGAAGCCTTTTGAGAAGTGGTCTTTTGTTGTCTGTTTTGCAGGGGATGTTTCTGGTGTCTTGGATAGTGACCAGTTAGCTTTTTCTTGCTTTTGCTTTTAGTGATGTGTAAGTGAATGGAAACCATTAGCTCATTTCAGATAGAAATTTTCAGTTACTGCAGACCTAGATTTGAATCAAAGCACATGAAGATGAAAGGCTCTATAACCCAGTACTAGTCCCTTGAGCCTTCCAGGCTGTTCTTGCCCTTTTTAAGTTAGTGGATGTCCTGTAATGGGAAAAAGAATTATTTACAGTTCAGTTTCTCCCCAGCATGATCAGCTATCTTTTGGATTTGTTTTAAGTCTTTTCTGTAAATCTATTCTGCTAAAGCAGTGCAGGAAGAATTTAATTTGCTTTTTGCAGGTTTTTTTGCCTCTGTAGTAGCAAGAGTTAACAGAATAAGAAGCAGAGATTCTAAGATGCAGTACAAGAATTACGTTCTCTGTCATTTGTGGTTTAAGAAAAGGGGGTGGTATTCAGCTCTTGAAAGGGCTTTAATGAATACTGTTTGGTGGTTTTGAAAGCTAATGGTCAGAGGAGAGCAACAGAAACAGCCTTGGAGCTTTTAGGGTAAACTGATTAGCATTTTTCCTGATTGAGGTGATTGTTTCACCTCCTCTTTTTATCTCAGGATTTTCACCGTCTATTGCCTTTTGTTTATATTCAAATGACGTACTGCTAAGAAGCCTTTTTATGTGAATGCAATGCTTTCTCCCCTCCTTCAGTAGAAAATCTGCTTGCCACAGACAGGCAGAGCATGTGTTTCTCTTGTCTTGGTTGGGTGCACAAATCTTCTTTTATGTGTGCTGCTTCTTACCCTGTTGCCTAGACGATCGCTGGCTTTCACTAAGGATGTCTGGTTCTCGTAAAGAGTTTGACGTGAAGCAGATTTTAAAAATCAGATGGAGGTGGTTTGGTCATCAGGCATCAGCCCCTAACTCTGCAATTGAAAACCACCAGGGAGACTTCTGGAATAGAGGACAAAATGTAACAACTGGTGGCACAAAGTTTTTAGATTCGGGTAACCTACCTTTAACATCAGTTGGTTACAGAAGGTCCAGCCAACAGGATTTCCAGAATTCACCTGCTTGGCCAATGGCATCCACCTCAGAAATCCCTAGATTTGAATTCTCAGCAGAAGACTGTGGAGGTGCACGTTGGCTTGACAGACGAGAAACAGATGATAGAGCAAGTGAAGAAGAAAATGAATCGGACAGCAGTTCGTGCAGGTTAATTATTACTTTCCTATTGTGAGAAATGGGTTTTCATTTCATGTTTACAGATAATATGCATATATAGGCTAGCCTTTATTCTTGATGAAAATGCTTCAGAAACCTAGCAGCTGCTGAGCATCAGAAACAGAAAATGATTTAATATCAGGGTTCTGTGTGTTTACTAGGACCGTTTTAAAAGGCAACTTTAGTCAGTGTGGATAAATAAAGTGCAAATGTGGATGCACTCACTTGTGTTTTAAATAGTATACCAAGTACATGCTGCTATGAACATGGTACTGTCTGTTACATGGTAATGTTACAGGATGCTTTCTAAATTATTTTGAAGTGACACTGATTGTTTAGTTACGCTGAGAATTAGTCCCATGCCAGGTAGGAGAAAACTATGAAAATGTAAGCTTCTTGTGACTCTTATCTGATGTTTCCACATGTTTCTATAAATGAGGGAGATGAAACTGTAAAAAATAGACTATAAAACAAAGATTTTTTTTTTTTTTCTTGTGCGTATGCAACTTGAAGGGGAAAAAAAAATATTTCATCTATTGAAAGCCTATCAATTTGTGCTTTAAAGTGACTGTGGTTATCCGTCCAGGTGTCTTAAACTGTGTATCTAGCTTAAAAAGAAAAAAATGGTTTTATTGTGTCTATAAAGATGTTTTGGTGTTCTTCTCTTACATATCATTACTAAAGATGAAACTGTAAAATTTGTTCTTAAGTGAAAGGTGTTTACCAGTTGTTGTAAGTTAGACAAGTTAATAATCTTTCTTGTCAAGTATCAGTTTAATTCTTTTATTTCCTTTTACTGCGTGAGCGAGCCATTCTTCACTAAAAGTAGTCTTCCTGTTTCATAGTGCACATAGTGCATAATAGCTTACCATTTCAAATAAAATTTATGATGTTTGCTTTCTCGCTTTTGAGATAACTTTGCGATGATATGGCATTTCAGGAAGTGTGGCTATTTAAAAGGGTGCACTGTTTAATAAGCCTGTTAAAGACAGATCAATCTATAGCAGTTTTGGTGTTTTGCATTCCCTAGGAGAAGAATTCATTTAGTGCAAGGGTAAAGTAGTCCATAATATAAGCACTAACTGTTTATGGTTATATAACCTTAAAAGATTCAAGGAAAGGAGGGAGGGTAAAAATGCTGAGGAGTCAACACAGTGTATTTGCTTTTATCACTGAATGGCAAAAGTACTAGAATTACAGGGAAAGGAAATCCTGCATACTGATGCTTCATATGGTGCTGCAACAATTATATAGCTATAAATAACATATCTCTGAAGAGGTCCTATTTTAAGTGATATTCAGGTATGGATTTTTAAAAACCTGTGTCACTGGATAATACATATGATACAGGTGTAACATCACTTTCTATTTCAGCAACGTCTACTTGTGATGTGAAATTTTAACGTACAGCATTACCCCACATAGGATATTCTCACCATAGGAAGGCAATCAGTGTAGAAAAAACATGTAGTTTTTAGAGATAAATGCGTAGATTGAAATTATTACAAAATTGTTCTTAATTGTAGGTGAAGAATTTACATATGACAAAACTAATTTGTTACTTTGGAGAACTGCAAATAGTTATTTAGGGGGTGTGAGAAGTCTGTGTAGCATTGGGTTTTTTTTTGGTTTTGTAGGGTTTTTTGGTTTTTTTTTGCAGGCAGCGTTGTATGCTACAGGAAGTGCATGTAGGATTTGAACTTAGTAAATTTGAAGTATCTTTTTAATTATGTGCTTAATCATCTATAGCATCTAGAATTATTTGTAATTCCTTTATTGTCTTGTAATTCGTGCTAGTGTTTTACTTTCATGCTTTAAAATAAATATTTTAGATAAATTTTGAGTTCAGTGTTGGTACAATTTAATATGTAACTAATGGTAATGTAAGAACTTGCTTTGTATTGCTATCTGTATCTCTGGTCCAATGGGGAGACTGTACTTAAACCATGTTTTGTTCACTCCCTTTGTTAAGAATGTATAAGCTGTTGGGCAGACTACGTAAGTCTGCCAAACAGCTGGAATTTTTCTGATGTCAAGAACTTAATTAAATGGGTTTTTTTTATTAGTCTAACATATAGCTTCTTATCTATTGACTTGAGGAAAAAAAATACCCAACACTTCCATCTAGGTAGTTTTCAAAGGGCTTTTTTCCCCCATATGAAAACCCTGTTACCTCCATTACAAGCAAATTACGTGTATGAAAAAAATCCTTTTTTATATGCTTTTTGTAGAAGCTATGGAGTTACCTTATTTCTTCGCTTCTCTGTAACTTATTGCCCGGTTACAAGCCCTAAAAGCATGAAGTGGCAGAAGCAGCTCTACTGCTTTGTGTGTATCAATCATCCTTCCTCTTTTCCATGTCCTATAGCACAGGTAGAAAAACATTTAGATCAGGTCTTTGTCATTATGAAAGCTTTAGATCATTACGTGATTCATTTAGAGGAGAGCCGCGGCAGAATTAATTTGTTACTAGTATAGAGCTTGGTGGCACAAGGGATAAGCAAATTCCAAGTTTAGTATCAGATCTTTGGCACAGGCTGTATCTGAGATGCAAACAGATCATCCAGGTTCAGGGATCAGAGCTAGGCGGCTGTAATGCTGTTCACATCATGCTTCGATGTGTTGTTTGTAACCAGCACTAGCTTGAATGATTGTTTACTGTGCCAGTGAGGTTTGAATTCTTTTGCTGGTTTTCATCTCCTAGATTTCCTCTATTGCTGCTGTTTGTTAACTCTCCTGCATTCCTGAGCTGATGGTCATGATTTTGGATTTGTACACTTTTAAAAATTTTCCAACAGCTGTGCAGACTCTTGTGTAGCAAATTTAAGCCGATTAGCAATAGATTTCTTTTTCTTAACTTTTTCTAGGTGCCTTAGCAGCAGTCCACAGACCTTGAAGGCACAGTGGATATCAAGCTAAAAATACCTAGAGCATACCTAATATGCAGAGTATTGTATTTGGTTTATTTCACCCAGGCATACATTAAAATATTGGAATTACTTTACTGTAGATTTAAGTATGGAAATGTATTCAAATATAATATAAAATGTATATTTATATTTGAACATTAAATACAAGCAATATTTCAGAATTCATCAGTTGTGTCCTAACCTTGAACAGTTTAGTAAGATGTCTGTAACTGATTTTTAAGACAAGGTCTGAATGTACCGGGTGGTAGCTGCTCTGCAGTATTGCTCTGTATGAACAGTCTTGGAGTTAGTACGTTGTAACTTCCAATCTAAGTCTGCCCCCCGCCAGCGGTTTTCAGTCTACAGAAACCTTTGATATGTCTTTTCTTTCACCTCAGTCTTACTGACCTTTGAGGCTGTAAGGTCTTTAGGACCCCTGGTTGTGCTGTGTGTTTGTGTATATCTCGTATCACAAAATCATGCAAATTGTCAAATAAGGACAGTTGATAGATTCCCTAATTGTGGCATGATAGTAGTATGATACTTGAAATTAACTGAAAAACTATTAAAAGAGCATTTTTTGCTAGATATATACATGAATTAGACAAGAAACTTTGTTATTGAAAGGCAAGTTGTTTTACAGGGGAGAATCTCTAGCCGTTTCATTTCTTCCATGCTACTACTAAAATTCTTTCATTTTCCTCTGTGTGTATTACGTCTTCACTTGGGTTATGTCTATGCACATTGAAAAGAGTTAGTACAGCACAATTATATAGCATGTACAAGGTAGATTTAATCTAGTAAACGTGAACAGTAGATGTTGTAATGAAGATAAGATAACAAGAGGCTTCGGCTTGAACTTCACAAAGCCACAGGGGATTCCAGGTATTTATTTGGATGGAATGGGCTTCCCTGCAAGACGATAATATTTTTGCAGGGATTGTCATATGCTTTGGCTATATTAAAGCTCGGTCAGGTATGGTTTTTTTTTTACTACTGCACTTCTCGATCACACTGCAATGTAGATGTATAATGAGGTAGTCTAAGTAGTTGTTTTCCAGACGGAATGCGTGTTACTGGTGACATTTTTCTGGGTATACGAATTCATTGCACTAAATCCAAGGCATGTCTTAGAAGTAAGACAGGAAACATCAGTGCTATAACCAAAGGTATAGCTGCAATGAAACATGCCTACATTATTTCTTAGTAAAATTAGAAACAAGTAAAGATGCAGTAGTATTGGCTTAGCAGGCAGTGTATACATGTCTTTGTTGGACTGACATAGATAACACTGGAGTCTGTGCTCCAGCTTCTCGTGTCTGTTGTTATTTATGCCAGTTAGGTTACGGTTCATGCAGATATATTTGTGTTTGCTTGAACCTGTGCCTTTTGATTGCAAGATTGTAGTTCTGGCTATTGCTATAATTCTTTTCTCTAGCATAAAGTATATCACTAGCCCTCAAGTTCACATGCATGTATAGCCTTACTGTGCTCTTCCATGTCTTCACTTCACTTTTGTCCTCTTTCCATTGTCTTTTCTTATCTTGAATTGTGATACACTATGGATTTTTAACCGTCTTCGTTGTTATCATCTATGGCTTCCTCTTATTTATGCTCTTCCCAGCCTTTGGAAGAGTATCCTGATTTTTACCATTGCTTGCCTTTTCCAAGAATCCTTTCAGCATCCTTCTTTTCAACAAACTTCGTTCTCTGCAGCTGTTATTGTCTTACTAGCTTTGAAGAAGGAAATACTTCACTCCTTACAAAGTATAATATAAAATCATGGAAGCTGGCAGAAAAGCTGGCATATTATTATTTTAGTAAGTTGTGTTCTGGTCTCTGCAATAAAATGTCAGCTAGCTTTAAGACAGCAGTGTAAACAACCAAATTGTTGAAAAAATATTTTTAAAACTTTTGAAATGTTGTATGTAAAAATTGCAATGCAGGAAGCCATCTTAATGCAGCAAGAAAGTTGCAAAATTAAGATTTGTTTAAAAATGTAAAAGATGTATCTTAATATGTATCCTAATTTGTCCAAGAGGAGACATACTCCATGTTCTCTAATGTGTATGACCTAAACAA